TCCCTATGTGGAATGTCTCACTTCTGTTAGGATGAGGTACCTTTGAGGTAATGGATATTTGGTCAGTGCCATAAAGTAACATTTATTTTACATTTTTGTGACTTGAATGTCACATTTCTGGAAATTAACCTTTGGCAGAGTAATTTTTGTCCCCTCCTGTTCTTTTCACCCTTCTGTTCTCTCAAAATCCGTTTGTCATTTCCATTATAGTTATCTGATATTTCTTCTCCCTACTGCGACCTGCAACTGATCATCAAAATTCATATAACACCAGGAGGTGGTGGGGAGATGTGTTACCATACGGTTAGTGAAGGTGGGCTCCTGTGTCAGTAAGGCAAAATCATGGTGTGGATTAGTCTGTATGTAGAGTGTGAACCTTCACAGCATTGTAAGGTGCTTTAATTGAGTGAGCTTCCAGCTTCTAGAGCGACTGCCACGACCTCTCTCTAAGCAGAACTGGTGTTTCTGCCTTGGTTAGGTCTGATAGACAACCACATGCCACTCCTTTCTAGCTTCTGTGTGCACATGTGAAGCCAAGCTGACTTCCTCCATTGCCTTCAAACTCACAACTGGGAGGAGAGTGAGTAAAAGCAAAAGCGTTTGCTGCAAAATGTAGGCCGTGCACACTCTTCTAGTTCCTTCCTGGGGGGTGAAATGATTCACCTTTTCTGGGGAGCTCCATGCATGTTGCTGGGGTGGGTGGCAGTCATCGTGGATGAAACTTTGCTTTCCAGGGGTCATCCCCCAAGGTAAAAACGCTGCGCTTTCAGAAGTGAATTGTGTGTTGTGTCGTGGGAAGCCAGGACCACATTATTTTTATGTTCTTTTTTTTGCCTGTGTGGTTTCATTAGTACTCATAGCTCTCTCTCTGCCCATAACATTTCCACCCTCACCAAAGTGTTTCACAGCGGTACGGAGAGAGGCAGGCGACACTGGCAGAGCTGTCTTCTCCTCCCTGCTCGCCTGGTGGGAGTGCGAGCTGCTGAGTACGGCTTTTCCCATTATGGCTCGGAGGAAACAAACGTGTGGGGAAGGAAGGGGATGAGCAGCCTAGTCTGTGCTGGTGAAGTTTATGTAGCACAAACTGCACAATGAAGGAAAAATGTAGGGAAGCCGCGAGTCCTGCACTGTATCTGTGACACTGTATCTGGGGAGGGGGAGGGAAGAGCATTCGTAGCAGGAGGGGTGGCGGGAAGCTAGAAGTGTTCAAATATGTATAATATTTTATATAAACATAATAAGCTTAGTTCCCCTTCATAATCTTCAGGAATGGTACTTTAACACCATTAAGCAAAGACTTGTTTTAGGATTAAATAAATGTATTGTACATAAGGCCATACGTAATCTTCTAAAAATGTCGCCAGACAGCAGCGATGTGTATCACTATATGAAAAAAAAGTCCTTAATGCACTGTTATCTCCTAAATATTTAGTAGTAAATTAATACTATTTAATTTTTTTAAAAATTTGTCTTGTGTAGACACTAAAAAGTATTACACAAAATGTGGACAGAACATGTCCTTTTTAACAGCAATTTAAAGAACTTTTTTTATATATGTATGGTAGTAACTTTTCAAATTGTTCTAGTTGTATTTTCCCATGTTTACTATTTGTGGAAGTGTGCCTGTCTCTATTCAGTTATTTTTTTTCTAATAATTTCATGCACGCATCTTTCATTTTTGTAGTTTTCATTAGAAATTATCGTGTATGCTCCTCATGCTGCCACAAAACTTTGCCACTCTAGATCTGTGGTGGCCACATTTGGCAGTGCCCGGCCAATGGGCTAGCAAAACCACAAAGCAAAATACTTGGTTCTTATTCTAGAGTTGAGAGTTTACTGCTTTTAAGTTGTCCTGATGTCACTCTTGAAATGACTGTTAAAACTAAACTATGAGTTCATTGCATTTGTTTTATATTCTTGGTTGTAATGAAATGGAATTGACTTTGCTTCAGTGTGAATTTTTTTAATAAAATAATATACATTTGTAATAATAATAATAAAAAGTTCAAATCAATTAAGTGTGCTGAAAAGTTTTTGTAAACATTGGCTTTGGGCTACCAAGAGCAAAAATATAGCCCACAAAATTGCAGTTGTAATTATATTCAGGATGTTTATGATATCGTACACCACACAAAACAAAGCTTGCAAAACCTTAAGAGTTGAAATTACAGCTTTTAAAATGCCCACAAGGATATTCATGGGTATGTATCTATCAAAATAGAATGAAGCCTTATGGAAAACAGAATCTATGGAGTGGTTCTCGTAGGTTTTGCCCTGTGCTTACGAGTATTCTGGCATGCAGCACCAATGCCACTTGTTGAGATTTGTTATTATTTGTGTGACAATCCTATAGATGTGTCTTCTGAAAAAAAAAGGTGGTTTACTAGACTCTAAAGCTCTTGCCCTGTTACTTTTTCCTCCTGCTGGACCTTAGAGGTTTTCAGATATTCCAGGTGACAACATGGAAAGCACAAGCTAGAGCATATTGCTAGGTTTTCAAAGTGGGTTTTTGTGTGCTTTGCTAGTCTGTGTGTTTTTGTTCCATCTAACCGTTGTTTCACAGGTGGATAGTTAACTTCTTCCAAAAAATCTCACCTGTCTTCTCCGTAACAGTTGGATGGGTAAGTATGGTTGGGATTTACTTGCACTACCAGTCATGTTAAGAAAGGAGCTTCTGTTTCTGATGTGCCTTTTACCCAAAGGTGAGAATCAGAGTAGCCTTTTGCCAAAAAGCTTGTCCATCTCTGGCACCTCATGGATAAAGAGCTTTAGATTCAGCCTCAACACAACTGAGCATCCCCAGCTCTATACCCCGTCCTGGTTTCGTCAGGGTTTCAGTTTCATAGTTTCCTTTCTGCTTCTGCTGTCCTGTTTATTGGTAAGATTGTGCTTAGTCAGCAGCTTTGACCTTGATGTCCTTTTTAAAACCTATGTTGGCTGTGTCTTCGTTCTGCAGCGTCTCTCACTGCTTTTCTTACCTTGTCATGCAATTTACAGTCTAATCCAGCCTCGTCGTACCGATCTGAATTATGGTGTCATCTCCTTTTCTGTCCTGGACAACTAGACAACTTCCATTTCACAGCCATCCAGAAAGTTGCAGAGTAGGTTGTTCATTAGTCTCTTTCTTTGACTTGTTGCTTCCTACTTTGCATTACTGCCCTGGCTCTGCCTTCTCTGTTGCATTAGATATAAAGCTGCTCTCTTCACTTGCACATCCTTGCCAAACCTGCTGTTACCCCGTTGCTCATACTCAAATCAAGAAATTATCTAAGTTATCCCCTGGTCTGATTGTCCCACCAAGTCAACCTTTACACCTGCCATTTTAGATTTCCAAATAAGCATTTTTATGCTCTGTTTCCAATTGCCCATTGTTCCTGAAGACCTGTTGCATAAATTTCTGAAAAAAATTCTTCCTATGTGTCTTCTGCATCCCTCATTAAAACCCTTTGGCTTTGATGTCTACAGAAGTTTAGTATTTTAAGCTACTGGTGTACTATGAGAAGTGCCTATCACG